GGAGTCCTCGTGGACAACAAGTTAAACATGAGCCAGGAATGTGATGTGGCGGCAAAAAAAGCCAATGGGATTTTGGCCTGCATCAAGAGGAGCCTAGTATCTAGATCTAAGGAAGTCATGCTCCCCATGCTCTATTCTGCTTTGGTTAGACCACACCTGGAATATTGTGTCCAATTCTGGGCACCACAATTCAAGAGAGATATTGACAAGCTGGAATGTGTCCAGAGGAGGCGACTAAAATGATCAAGGGTCTGGAGAACAAGCCCTATGAGGAGCGGCTTAAGGAACTGGGCATGTTTAGCCTGAAGAAGAGAAGGCTGAGAGGAGATATGATAGCCATGTATAAATATGTGAGAGGAAGCCACAGGGAGGAGGGAGCAAGCTTGTTTTCTGCTTCCTTGGAGACTAGGACGCAATGCAACAATGGCTTCAAACTACAAGAGAGGAGATTCCATCTGAACATTAGGAAGAAGTTCCTGACTGTGAGAGCCGTTCAGCAGTGGAACTCTCTGCCCCAGAGTGTGGTGGAGGCTCCTTCTTTGGAAGCTTTTAAGCAGAGGCTGGATGGCCATTTGTTAGGGGTGATTTGAATGGAATATTCCTGCTTCTTGGCAGAATGGGGTTGGACTGGATGGCCCAGGAGGTCTCTTCCAACTCTTTGATTCTATGATTCTAAGGCTTGAATGACAAACTAGAATTCAGCTGTTACCTTTAATGACCCTGTAGTACTTAAGAACTTGCTGTACCTCAACAGATTGCTCACAACTGAATAAAGAACACTACATGTAAAGATCCTGCAAGGACATGTAAGTTATAATCATAATATTAAGACCATTATTTATTATATATAACATCCGTTTGGGGTGTTTTTCCTACATGTCTATTCTTAGTACGGTATATATTAGTCTGACTTTACATACTGGAGTTCTATAATAGATGTTGTTGTAACTTTGGTTTTGGCTTTCAGTCTGCTGAGGTTAAATAGCTTGCCATCTGTCCGATAGATGATTTCCCCTCCGGTGGGAAGCTTCCCATCAACAAGATGAAGTATCATAGCGATGAAGATAGAGAATAAGGTTGCGGCAATAACACATCCCTGTTTGACACATTTAAATGGGTCACTTTGGGAGCCACTGCTGTCCAAAACTCCAGTATGCTGATGACAACGTTGTCTGTGCGCATTCAGAAGAAGATCAACAAGCCACTCTAAACACCTTTGCAGAAGCATATGGGCAGCTCGGCCTGTCATTGAACATTGAAAAAACCAAGGTGCTGTCAATACAACACCGCCTGAGCTCAGCATTTTTCCGAATGAAGCAGAGAGTGTTTGAGGACCGGGACATCCGTAGGGAGACCAAGGTGCTTGTCTATAAAGCTATTGTCCTCCCAACCCTGCTCTATGCCTGCGAAACATGGACTGTCTACAGATGTCACGTGCAACTCCTGGAATGATTCCATCAGCGCTGCCTCCAGAAAATCCTGCAAATCTCTTGGGAAGACAGGCGGACAAACGTCAGCGTGCTGGAAGAAGTAAAGACCACCAGCATTGAAGCAATGGTCCTCCGGCATCAACTCCGCTGGACCGGCCACGTTGTCCGGATGCCCGACCACCGTCTCCCAAAGCAGTTGCTCTACTCCAAACTCAAGAACAGAAAACGGAACGTTGGAGGACAGGAAAAGAGATTTAAAGATGGGCTCAAAGCCAACCTTAAAAACTCTGGCATAGACACTGAGAACTGGGAAGCCCTGGCCCTTGAGCGCTCCAGCTGGAGGTCAGCTGTGACCAGCAGTGCTGCAGAATTTCAAGAGGCACGAATGGAGGGCGAAAGGGAGAAGCGTGCCAAGAGGAAGGCGCGTCAAGCCAACCCCGACCGAGACCACCTTCCACCTGGAAACCAATGCCCTCACTGCGGAAGAAGATGCAGAGCAAGAATAGGGCTCCACAGCCACATACGGACCCACAAGAACACTGGAAGACAATCATCCTCGGAAAACGAGGGATCACCTAAGTAAGTAAGTAGTTCTTTATATTTTCATATGTATAAGAAGAAATAAGAAGGCAAAGCTAAGTGAACAGGGAGATTACCTGAAGATATCGAAACTGGCCTGTACCCGGGAAACCAGTTGTATTATTCACCCCGGCATTACAGATTACTTGGCCATCCCCGATATCCAGAAACAACAACTCTGTTACACATTGATAAAGGACTGAAACAACAACTCTGTTACACATTGGTAAAGGACTTATCCAAGAGCAACTCTACGTTGACATCATTCATATGAAGAACTTTGATATTTACGTTTGTATTAGTCAGTTTATTGACTCCATTAACGCTTGAGAACATTTCCAAGACGATAGTAAGACCACGTTTGGTCTCCATTCATTTTATTTGACAGTACCAAAACTGCTACTATTGTACTGTAAAATTGGTGTAAAGTGTTACTGAAATGTATATCTTTATGTTAAGTATGCGTTATTAACTTGATTTAAAGCATCGGCAGCCCTTGAGAATATGATCAAGTCTGTAGTAAAACTGTGTTTGTTTGTTTTCCTTTTTGACAGTATTGATATTTAAACTGGAAAGTGTAATAATGTTATGGTAATACTTGTGTGAAGTGTTGCTAAATTGAATATCTTTATGTGAAGAACTATAGAAGAAGACATTTCATTACATATATTGAACTTAATATTTCATACTATATACCTACTTTCCTTTTCACTGTTGGACTGGATGGCCCATGAGGTCTCTTCCAACTCTATGATTCTATGAAAACTAAACGTTGGATTCAATGAAGAGTATAGATTCACACGCCCTATATTTATTCAGAAAGCCATGGCAAAAGCATTCCGTTTCCCTTGGGAAACCTCTCCTTGACGCCTTTTTTCTCTTAAACTTGCTGAGCACCTCCTCCCTAAATCCAGTTGGCAATCCTGATAAATTTGCCCTGTACGATCAAAGATGTCCCCTCTGGTCTGCTCATTGGTACATTCCTTTCGCTGTCTCTATCTAACCTTGGCTGTTCGGCCTCAGCCTCTTTCTCAGGCCACCGTTCATCGCTGGAAGAGAACATGTACCAGACAATTTTGGCCCCAGGTATGATCCAAAATTCCGTCCTTGCACTTTACTACCATTCTCTACCCAAAGATATAATGTTCTGTTTTACATTGCCCTCTATCCCTAATTTTGCCCTTCAACTTATGCACCTTTCTATCAGTCCTTCCCTTACAATTGACTGCACTATTTCGCCCTCCGTGCCAAAAACTGGTCACTATTTCAGGTTGTTTTATATTTTGTTATAATGCTGTTCTTTTATTTTGTTTTGATGCTGCTGTTATGTTTTTAATGTGTTACATTTTAACTATGTTGATCGGGCTTGGTCCGCATGTAATCCACCCCATATCCCTCCCAGGAGATGGAAGCGGAGTACAACAACAACAACAACAACAACAACAACAACAATAATAATAATAATAATAATAATAATAATAATTTGAAACACAACAAGATGAGTCCACAGCAAACGAGATCTCTCTGCTGGCTGTTGTATTGGATCACTCGTCGGACACTTCCCAAGTCTCTAGGACTGTGTGATGTATCGGTGAATAATGTGTGCAGATCCCAGTAAGGTGGCCTTTTGCAGCTGGCAGATGGCAATTTTATCAGCACCCATTGTGTTTAAGCCCAGGCCAAGGTCTTGAGGCACTGCACAGAGTGTGCCCATCACCACTGGGACCACCTTTACTGACTTGTGCCAAAGTCTTTGCAGTTCAATCTTTAAATCCTCATATCATGTCAGCTTTTCCAGTTGTTTCTCTTCAGTCCTACTGTCGCCTGGGATTGCAACATCAGCGATCCATATTTTGTTTTTTAACACGATCGTGAGGTCAGGAGTATTGTGCTCCAAAACTCTGTCTGAATTCGGAAGTCCCAGAGGAGTTTGACGTGTTCATTTTCTGTAGCTTTTTTAGGCTTGTGATTCCTCCAGTTCTTTGTCACAGGCAGATGGTATTTGTGGCACAAGTTCCAATGAATCATCTGAGCAACAGTGTTGTGCCTCTGCTTGGAGTCTGTCTACTCGATCTTCTTGCAGCAGCCGAGGATGTGATCTATTGTTTCATCTGCTTCCTTGCAGAGTCTACACTTGGGATCTATCATTGACTTTTCAATTCTGGCTCTGATGGCATTTGTTCTAATGGATTATTATTATTATTATTATTATTATTATTATTATTATTATTATTTCCTCTTAAATCACATTCCAGGATAGTCAACAATGTATAGAGAGAGAGAGAGAGAAACAAATATAGAAGAGGAAAAAAAAGGAAAGCTCTTAGCATCTATTTACACCTTGTTGTTCATTCGTTCAGTCGTCTCCGACTCTTTGTGACCTCATGGACCAGCCCACGCCAGAGCTCCCTGTCAGCCATCACCACCCCCAGCTCCTTCAAAGTCAGTCCAGTCACTTCAAGGATGCCATCCATCCACCTTGCCCTTGGTCGGCCCCTCTTCCTTTTGCCTTCCACTTTCCCCAGCATAATTGTCTTCTCTAGACTTTGCTGTCTCCTCATGATGTGACCAAAGGACTTCAACTCCGTCTCCAGTCTCCTTCCCTCCAATGAGCAGCCAGGCTTTATTTCCTGGAGGATGGACTGGTTGGATCTTCTCGCAGTCCAAGGCACTCTCAGAACTTTCCTCCAACACCACAGCTCAAAAGCATCGATCTTCCTTCGCTCAGCCTTCCCTAAGGTCCCGCTCTCACATCCGTAGGTTACTACAGGGAAGACCATGGCTTTGACTAGGCAATGGATCTTTGTTGCCAGTCTGATGTCTCTACTCTTCACTATTTTATCGAGGCTGGACATTGTTCTCCTCCCAAGAAGGAAGCGTCTTCTGATTTCCTGGCCTCAATAAGCCTCAATTCATCTCTATCTGGGTTCTGTTATGTTTATGTAATTCTCCACTATCAGGGAAGCTCTTTCTGCATTCGAGACATTTAAAGTTTCTTCCCAGTGTGCGTTCTCTGATGTGAATGCAGTTTTTCGTTCTGTAAGAAGCACTTTCCACACTCCAGGCATTTAAAGGGTTTCTCCCCAGTGTGAACTCTTTGATGTGAACGTAGATGTCCACTCCAAGTGAAACTCTTTCCACACTCCAGGCATTTAAAGGGTTTCTCCCCAGTGTGGGTTCTCTGATGTGAATGTAGATATCCACTCCAAGTGAAACTCTTTCCACACTCCAGGCATTTATAGGGTTTCTCTCCAGTGTGGGTTCTCTGATGTGAACGTAGACATCCACTCCGAGTGAAACTCTTTCCACACTCCAGGCATTTATAGGGTTTCTCCCCAGTGTGAGTTCTTTTATGCCTACGTAGATATCCAGTGGCAGCGAAATTCTGACCACATTCCTGACATGTGTAGGGTTTCTCCCCAGTGTGAATCCTTTGATGTATCTGTAAAGTTTCATTACGTGCGAATTTTTTTCCACACTCTGGGCATTCATAGGGTTTCTCCCCAGTGTGAGTTCTTTGATGTATCTCTAAAGCTCCATTAAATGGGAATCTCTTTCCACACTCTGGGCATTCATAGGGATTATCCCCAGTGTGATTTCTTTGATGTATCTGTAAAGCTCCATTAAGTGCGAATCTCTTTCCACACTCTGGGCATTCATAGGGCTTCTCCCCAGTGTGAGTTCTTTGATGTTTACGTAGAGATCTACTCTGTGCAAAGCTCTTCCCACATTCCAGACATGTGTAGGATTTCTCCCCAGTGTGAGTTCTTTGATGTTTACGTAGATTTACACTATGCGCATAGCTCTTCCCACATTCCAGACATGTGTAGGATTTCTCCCCAGTGTGAGTTCTTTGATGTTTATGTAGATTTACACTATGCGCATAGCTCTTCCCACATTCCAGACATGTGTAGGATTTCTCATCAGTGTGAGTTCTTTGATGGTTACTTAGATTTCCACGCTGCGCAAAGCTCTTCCCACATTCCAGACATATGTAGGATTTCTCACGAGAGTGAGTTCTTTGATGGTTACGTAGATGTTCACGCTGCACAAAGCTCTTCCCACATTCCGGACATGTGTAGGGTTTCTCACCAGTGTGAGTTCTTTGATGTTTACGTAGATTTCCACTCTGCGCAAAGCTCTTCCCACATTCCAGGCATGTGTAGGGTTTCTCACCAGTGTGAGTTCTTTCATGTAACCGCAGAACTTTCTGCTGCCTAAAACTCTTTCCACATTCAGTACATTGATATGATTGTCTCTCCATGTTGGTACTTTAAAATGCAAGATAGACACTTTCCTTTTCTGAAGTGTGAGTGAGCCGAAGGGTTCAGCCGGATCGGCACCTTCGGAGCATTTCTTCTTCCTATATGTCTGGTTTCTTTACTGCACTTTGGAATTCTAAAATCTTCAATATCCAATAGATGTTGAATTGTTTCTTATCTTGACAAACGTGGCTCCATAGAATGTTCCTTTCCCTGGTGAAGAAAGAAGAAATAAAAGATTGAAAGGATGAAAGCCAGAAACAGTCTCCCCCTTGTTGAAAATGGGAATAACAAGAACTGCAGACGTGAAGGGTCTCAAGGGCACACACAGAAGACAACAAAGGTGTGGAGTTTCTGGGCTGCTAAAATGGCAGTGTGAAGCTTTCCTAGTGATGTGGAGGAACAATGGAGAGTGCGGGTTGCGATAACCACAGTTGTTCTTATAACCCTTGGGTGATAAAGTGTTTCTTTGGTGGTGGGGGGGGGGGGCAAGGATTAATTATTTGTGTCCAAAACCCCCACTCAGACATCTGAGAAGGCTCCAGAATTGAAACCTTAGTGTGGACAAGTGGGTCTGACCAAGACTCCATCAAGCAAGATGGCATCTACCTGGAGTTTGTGATACAAAGGAAGGGTGAAACTAAGCAAAGTCAAGCAAGCATTCAAGACGTTAGGAGAACTGACTTCAGGAATTTTAAGGAAATTCTTTTAATTTCACTAGCTTCTCTAATTCTACTGTTCAAAATTTCTAGTATCCAAATGAACAGTAGCGACAACAAAGGACAGCCTTGTCTTGTCCCTTTTTTAATCTCTATATAATAATCATTTATTTTTTATTTGGCTCTTTGCCTTGAGTAAATAGCTCCTATTGTCTTTCTGAAATATTGGCCTACTCCAAAGTGGTCCAATACTTAAACATATAGTCCCACCGCACATTGTCAAATGCTTTCTCAGCATCTAAAAACAATAACGCAATCTCTCTACTTGGGTCTTGTTCGGCATACTCTAATATATCTATCACCATTCTCATATGCCTACGTGGGAGGAAGCCTGCTTGATCCCCATGTACTATTTTGGTTTAGGTTTTTCTGCAAATAACTTATAATCGTTATTGACCAATGAAATTGGTCTATAATTCTTCACTTGCTCAATATCTCTCTCTAGTTTAGGTAAAAAAACTATTGTAGCTTCCTCCCAAGACTCAGGCATTTCTCCTTTTTGGAGCACTTGGGTAGTTGTGGGTTAGTTATGTGATCCATACAGAGTGGTGTCGGAGATCATGGGGGTTGGATTCACGGGTGTGGGGTTAGAAGGACAATAAATGTTATATCTTAACATTTATTTATAACTGTACAGTCAAAGTTGATTTTTCATATGTTTAACGAGCGCTGACTGTATACCATTCTGTAAACTTGCATACTCTTTTGTATATCTTTTTTTCTTCTTTTCTGTTTTTTGGTAGTTTTTGTTTTGTTTTGTTTTTGGGGGTTTTTTGGTTTTCTCCCCCTCTGGTGCCGGTTTTGTTTCCTGTGTGCACCATAAACCAATAAAAATTAATTTAAAAAATAAAGGAAATTTAAGGAAATTCTGAATGTGAACCCATGGATAGGAATTCTGAAAGAGAAGGGTATTGGAGAATTAGAGGCTGGGGAAAGGGAAAGTTGGGACTCAAGATTCAAATAATAATGCAGAATACTTTAATCAAATATCAACAACCAGATCATGGGCTGGGGGGGGGGGGAGAATTTTTCAGAGGGAGAGCCTCCGTGGGCGGAGGGGCCACCATAGAGGTGGTGATGGGGAGGGGGAGATATGGGAAAGGGAGAATTAAACAACCAATTTGGCCCAAAATTTGTGGAAGAACATTGGCATTTCCATAACGTTCTCCTGACATGGTACGGCTGAAGACCCAGGATGGTGGTCCCTCCAGGTTAAGAGTGGTGCTGTTCAATGCCAGGTCAGAGAATGGGAAGACATCTATTATTCAGGATTTAATCCTGGAAGAACATGTAGACCTGTTGTGTATAACTGAGACCTGGTTGGATGAGGCTAAGGGGGGTTAATCTCTCCCAGCTTTGTCTACCAAGCTACTCTGTGCACCAGGCTACTCTGTGCAACACCAATCGAGACCTGGAGGGTGAGGAGGTGGAATCGCAACAGTCTATAAGGATTCTATCTCCCTGACCAGGTGTCCCATCCTGCAGTCAACCACTTTTGAGTGTGCCAGCCTAAGGATAGGTGACCAGGACAGGATAGGAATTCTGCTAGTGTACTGACCACCCCGCTACACTACAGTCTCCCTACCTGAGCTAGCCAGAGTGGTCTTGGACCTTGCTAGGGAGTCTCAATGACTCATAGTATTGGGGGACTTCAGTGTTCATGCCGAGACCACTCTGTCAGGTGTGGCTCAGGACTTCATGGCTGCCATGGCAACCATGGGCCTGTCCCAATTAGTATCTGGTACCACCCATAGTGCTGGGCACACATTGGATCTGGTTTTCTGTTGGGGATGGGATGAAGGTGGCGGGCTAGAGTAGCTGACCATAGCTCCATTGCCATGGACCGACCACCACCTGATCAGGTTTAGTCTTACTGTGCCTCTTAGCCTCCGCAGGGGTAGTAGACCCATTAAACTGATCCACTCCAGGAGATTTATGGATCCGAGTGGATTCCTGATGCCTCTTGGGGATTTTCCCGCCTCCTCGGTAGGTGACCAGGTCGATGCTCGGATCTTTCTCTGGGACAGGGAGATGACCAGGGCAATAGACACGATCACTCCGGAATGCCCCTCTTGAGTAACCAAGCTAAACCAGCCCCTTGGTTCAGCAAAAAGCTGGCAGCGATGAAGCGAAAAAAGAGGAGGCTAGAGTGCATGTAGCGACGGAAGGATAGCGGATCAGCCCAAGCATTCCTGGGTGCCTAAGGACCTATACCATGGTTAAAAAAGGCCGCAGAAAAATCATTTATTGTAGCCAATATTGCGTCCACAAAGAACTGTCCGGCTGAGCTGTTCCAAGTTGTTAGAGGGCTGTTAAATCCACCTCAGAGCGAGACTCCTGACAACTTGGCAGCTGGCTGTGAAGCATTTGCTTGGTTCTTTGTGGACAAAGTCGCTCTGATCCGCTCCAACTTTGTTGCCACGTTAAGAGCAGTCTCTGAAGATGTAACACGAGCACCTGCTTGTCCGGTTTTGCTAGATTAGTTTCAATTGGTTAAGCTTGACGACGTGGACAAGACCCTTGGAGAGGTGAGGCCTACCACGTGCATCCTAGACCCCTGCCCTTCCTGGCTGAAAAAAGAAGCCAGAGGGGTTTGGCAGAGTGGGTTAAGGTGGTGGTTAATGCCTTCTTACAGGAGGACAAGATTCCAACCAGCTTAAAACAAGCTGTTATAAAACTGCTACTGAAAGAACCATCACTAGACCCAACTCAATTAGTCAACTATCGGCCAGTTTCCAATCTCATCTACTTGTGATGGCTTCACAACTCCAGGAGTTCTTGGAAGACACTGACCATCTAGATCCAGCACAGTCTGACTTTAGGCCAGGACATGGAACTGAAACAGCCTTGGTCACCTTGGTAGGTGATCTACGCTGGGAACTAGACAGGGGGAGACACTGTTGGTTCTGCTGGACCTCTCAGTGGCCTTCAATGCCATTGACCATGGTATCCTTCTGGGATGCCTCGCAGGAATGGGACTTGGAGGTACTGCTTTGCAGTGGCTCCAGTCCTTCCTGGAGGGTCAGACCCAGAAGGTGTTACTGGGTGACACCCGTTCGACCCCATAACCTTTGTCTTGTGCAGTCCCACAGGGTTCAGTACTGTCCCCGATGTTGTTTAACATCTACATGAAGCTGCTGGGGAAGATCATCCAGAGTTTCAGAATACGGTGTTATCTGTATGCGGATGACGTCCAAATCTGTCACTTCTTTCCACCCGTCACCAAGGAAACTGTTCAGGTCCTGAACCGGTGCTTGGCAGCAGTGGACTGGATGAGCGCTAACAAATGGAAATTGAATCCAGACAAGACAGAGGTCCTCCAGGACAGTCGAAAGGGCGAAGGGTTACAGCCTGTGTTGGATTGGGTTACACTCCCCTGAAGTCTCATGTTCGCAGCTTGGGAGTGATCCTGAATTCATCACTGAGCCTGGAACCCCAGGTTTCGTCAGTGGCCAGGGGAGCTTTTGCACAGTTAAAACTTGTGCACCAGCTGCGCCTGTGCCTTGGGAAGTTTGATCTGGCCACAGTGGTCCATGCTTTTCTTACATCCCAAATACATTACTGCAACACACTCTACATGGGGTTGCCTTTGAAGACTGTTCGGAAACTCCAACTAGTCCAACGGGCGGCAGCCAGATTACTAACTGGAGAGACATACAGGAAACATACCATCCCTCTGTTATGTCAGCTTCACTGGCTGCTGGTCAACTTCCGAGCTCAATTCAAAGTGCTGATCTTGGCCTGTAAAGTGCTATATGGTTCCGGCCCAGCTTACCTGTCCGAACATATCTCTCTCTACGTCCTGCCTCAGAATCTAAGATCATCCGGGGAGGCTCTGCTCTCAGTCCCGCCCTCTTCGCAAGCACATTTGGCGGGGACGAGGGACAGCGCATTCTCGGTGGTGGCCCCCCCAGTGTGGAACACATCTCACCACACCAAAACAGTGGATGTGGCTCTTAATGAGACATGCCGCATTATCACGGGGTGTCTGTGCCCTCCACCACTGGAGAAATTACACTGCTTAGCCGGTATTGCACCACCTGACATCCGCCGGGAAGTAGCAGCCAATAGTGAAAGGACCAAGGCAGAGACATCTCCAGCTCATCCCCTGTTTGGGTATCAGCCAGCACGTCAACGACTTAAATCTAGAAAGAGTTTTCTAAGATCTACAGAGACACTCGCTGGAACACCTCAGCAAGCGAGAGTCCAAAAGTGGCAGGCTCAAACCCAGAACCTCAACCAATGGCTGATACCAAATGAGAGACTCCCCCCTGGGCACACAGAAGACTGGGCGACTTGGAAGGCGCTGAACAGACTGCGCTCTGGCACCACGAGATGCAGAGCCAACCTTCAGAAATGGGGCTACAGGGTGGAATCCTCGGCATGCGAGTGCGGAGAAGAACAAACCACTGACCACCTGCTGCAATGCACCCTGAGCCCTGCCACATGCACAATGGAGGACCTTCTTGCAGCAACACCAGAGGCACTCCAAGGGGCCAGATACTGGTCAAAGGACATTTAACCAACTACCAAACTCACAAGTTTTGTATTTGTTTGTTTGGTTTGCTCTGTTAGAAATGTAATATAATGGACTGGTTGCTCTGACAAGACAAATAAAATAAATCCAGCTTGTCAATATCTCCCTTCCATTGTGGTGCCCAGAATTGGACACAATATTCCAGGTGTGGTCTAACCAAGGCGGAAGAGAGCATGGGGAGCAGGACTTCCCTGGACCTAGACACTAGGTTCCTATTGATGCAGGCCAAAATCCCATTGGCTTTTTTTGCTGCCACATCACATTGTTGGCTCATGTTTACCTTGCTGTCCACGAGGACTCCAAGATCTTTTTCACACATCCTGCTCTTGAGCCAAGCATTGTCCCCCATTTTGTATCTTTGCATTTCATTTTTCCTGCCAAAGTGGATCCTCATCAGAAGCATACCAGTAGCTCGGCCTGTCATTAAACATCGAGAAAACCAAGCCAATCCCTCTCCAATGCCAGAAACACAGCTTAATGGTGTAACATTAGAAAATGCTGACCATTTCCTCTACCTTGACAGCCACCTCTCCACAAAAGTCAACATTGACACTGAAATACAACACCGCCTGAGCTCTGCGACTGCAGCATTTTTCCAAATGAAGCAGAGAGTGTTTGAGGACCGGGACATCCGTAGGGATACCAAGGTGCTTGTTTATAAAGCTTTTGTCCTCCCAACCCTGGAGCTAGACTAGCAGACTGAAAGCCAAAACCAAGGTTACAACAACATCTGTTATAGAACTCCAGTATGCTGATGACAGTGTCGTCTGTGCGCATTCAGAAGAAGACCTACAAGTCACTGTGAACACCTTCGCAGAAGCATACGAGAAGCTCGACCTGTCATTAAACATCGAGAAAAGCAAAGTGCTCTTCCAGAAGTCACCAGCCAATCCCTCCCCAATGCCAGAGATACAACTTAATGGTGTAACATTAGAAAATGTGGACCATTTCCACTCTCTTGGCAGCCACCTCTCCACCAAAGTCAACATTAACACTGAAATTCAACACCACCTGAGCTCTGCGAGTGCAGCATTTTTCTGGATGAAGCAGAGAGTGTTTGAAGACCGGGACATCCGTAGGGAGACAAAGGAAAGGAAGGAAGGAAGGAAGGAAGGAAGGAAGGAAGGAAGGAAGGAAGGAAGGAGAGAAGGAGGGAAGAGGAGGAGGGAAGGGAGAGAAGGAAAGAAAGGAGGGAGGGAAGTAAAGAAGGAAAGAGGGAGGGAAGGAGGGAAGGAGGAAAGGGAGGAGAGGAAAGAAGGAAGAAAAAGGAGGGAGGGATGGGGAGAGGAGGAAAGAAAGGAGGGAGGGAAGTAAAGAAGGAAAGAGGGAGGGAAGGAGGGAAGGAAGGAGCACCTGCATACTGGAGTTCTATAACATGTTGTTGTAACCTTGGTTTTGGCTTTCAGTCTGCTGAGGTTAAATAGCTTGCCATTTGTCCGGAAACTTCAATTGGTCCAGCGGGCGGCAGCAAGGATGCTAACCGGGGCTCATTATCAAGAGAGGTCTACCCCTCTGTTTAAGGAGCTCACTGGCTGCCATTTATTTTCCGAGCCCAATTTAAGGTGCAGGTGCTCACCTACAAAGCCCTGAACGGTTTGAGACCACCCTACCTGCGTGACCGCATCTCCATCTACGAACCCACACGCTCACTCCGGTCATCTGGGGAGGCCCTGCTCGTGATCCCACCCACGTCGCAAGCGCGCTTGGGGGGGACACGGGACAGGGCCTTCTCTGTGGCGGCCCCCCGACTCTGGAATGCCCTTCCCAAAGATCTTCGACAGGCCCCTACTTTAGCAGTTTTCAGAAAGAATCTAAAAACTTGGCTGTTCCGATGTGCCTTCTCAGATTAGGAATCCCCCATCCCAAGTCCTATAAGCACTTTAGTACAATTAATATTCTGCACACCACATTATTTAATCCTACGTTCCTCCTGCCATTCCAGCACTTTTAACCCTGTACCCCTTTGCACTGGCCGGTCCAGTTTTATGGTGTCTTGATGTATTGTTATTGTTGTTATTTGCTTAATTATTTGATTTGCTTTGTTTATTGTTGTGTTATGTTTCTACTGTATTGTGTTCTGAGGCTTCGGCCTGTGTGAGCCGCATCGAGTCCTTCGGGAGATGATAGCGGGGTACAAATAAAGTTAATAATAATAATAACAATAATAATAATCATCATCATCATCATCATAATAAAATAAAGGAGGAAAGGGAGAGGAAAGAAGGAAGGAAAAGGAGGGAGGGATGGGGAGAGAAGGAAAGAAAGAAAGAAAGGAGGGAAGTAAAGAAGGAAAGAGGGAGGGAAGGAAGGAAGGAGGAAAGGGAGGAGAGGGAGGAGAGGAAAGAAGGAAGGAAAAAGAGGGAGGGATGGGGAGAGAAGGAAAGAAAGAAAGAAAGAAAGAAAGAAAGAAAGAAAGAAAGAAAGAAAGAAAAAGAAAGAAGGAGGGAAGAAAGAAGGAAAGGGGAGGGAAGAAGGAAGAAGGAAAGGGAGGAGATGAAAGAAGGAAGAAAAAGGAGGGAGGAGGGAAGAGAAGGAAAGAAAAGAGGGAGGGAAGAAAGAAGGAAAGAGGAGGGAAGGAAGGAAGGAAGGAGAAAGGGGAGAGAGGAAGAAGGAAGAAAAGGAGGGAGAGGGAAGAGAGGAAAGAAAAGGGGAGGGAGAAAGAAGGAAAGAGGGAGGGAAAGAAGGAGGAAAGGGGGGAGAGGAAAGAAGGAAGAAAAAGGAGGGAGGGATGGGGAGAGAAGGAAAGAAAGGAGGGAGGGAAGTAAAGAAGGAAAGAGGGAAGGAAGGAGGAAAGGGAGGAGAGGAAAGACGGAAGGAAAAGGAGGGAGGGATGGGGAGAGAAGGAAAGAAAGAAAGAAGAGGGAAGGAAGGAGGAAAAGGAGGAAGGAAAGAAGAAGGAAAAGGAGGGAGGGAAGGATGGGGGGAGAAGGAAAGAAGGAAAGAAAGGAGGGAGGGAAGAAAGGAAAGAAAGAAAGGAGGGAGGGAGGGAGCTCTTCAAGCCAGGCTCCAAGGAGAGGGAAGGCAAGAGAGGCAGGTAGGGGACGGGGGGGGGGGGGGGGGAAGCAGAAGGGGAGAGGCTTGGCCACCGGGGGCATTTCAGGTGTGTGTGTGTGTGCGCGCGCCTCCCCCCTCTTCCCTCCTGGCTCCTTCCTTGCACCCACCCCTCCCTCCCTCCCTCCCTCCCTCCCTTCCTTCCTTCCTTCCTTCTCACCTCTCTTTGCTCCAGCCTGAGCTCGGCCCCAAGCACTGCTGCTTCCCTCCCAGAAATGAGTCTGGGGGAAAGGAGGGGGGGGGGTCGTCCCCGCAAGGACCAAGAGGCCCCTCCCTCTTTCCTTCCTCCCGGCATCCTCTCCCTCCCTCCACCCTCCCTCCCTCCCTCCAGGCCAAGGCTTCAAGGGGGAGGCATCCCACCCCCCCCCCCCCCCCCCCCCCCCCGAGATGAGCCCTTCCTGTCCCCGCAAGGGAAAAAGGGAGGAGTGAGAGAGCTGAGCAGGAGAGGCGGAGAGAGCGGGAATGAGGAGCTAGAGGAGAGGGAAGGGGAGTGGTGGGGTAGGGAGAGGAGCCTGAGCAGGGAGGAGAGCTGCCAAGGGGTGACCCAGGAAGGAAGGAATCCTAGAATCCAAGAGTTGGAAGAGACCTCATGGGCCATGATCCAGTCCAACCCCATTCTGCCAAGAAGCAGGAATATTGCATTCAAAGCACCCCTGACAGATGGCCATCCAGCCTCTGCTTAAAAGCTTCCAAAGAAGGAGCCTCCACCACACTCTGGGAGAGAGTTCCACTGCTGAACGGCTCTCACAGTCAGGAAGTTCTTCCTCATGTTCAGATGGAATCTCCTCACTTGTAGTTTGAAGCCATTGTTCCATTGCGTCCTAGTCTCCAGGGAAGCAGAAAACAAGCTTGCTCCCTCCTCCTCCCTGTGGCTTCCTCTCACATATTTACATGGCCCTCATCATATCTCCTCTCAGCCTTCTCTTCTTCAGGCTAAACATGCCCAGCTCCTTAAGCCGCTCCTCATAGGGCTTGTTCTCCAGACCCTTGGTCATTTGAGTCGCCCTCCTCTGGACACATTCCAGCTTGAGAGCGCTTGAGAGAATTGCATCCTTGAGAGAATTGCATCCTTGAGAGAATTGCATCCTTGAGAGAATTGCATCCCTGGTCTCTGCAGAGCAAGCGCTCCACAGTTAGTACACCGGGAATCTGCATCTGTGTTGTCATTTAGCGTTTGGGGTTTTTTAAGTCCCTTCTGCACCTTTTTTGGGAGGTTTTATGTGTGATGGTCACTTGTTGGTCTGTTAAGGGTGTAGTGTCCAAGTTTGGTGTCAGTTGGTCCAGTGGTTTTCGAGTTATGTTAATCTCACAAATGGACATTACATTTTTATTTATATAGACTAGCCGTCCCCTGCCACGCGTTGCTGTGGTCCAGTCTGTATATATGTGTTTTGTGTGTGAGTGTGTGTATATGTGTATTTGCATGTATATGTGTGTTTGCATATATATGTGTGTGTGTGTGTAGATGTGTTTATATGTGTGTATATATTTGTGTGTTTATATCTGTATATGTATATTGTGTATATGTGTGTGCTTGTTTACATGCATATTTGTGTTTATGTGTGTATGTATGTGTGCATGTGTATATTTGTCTGTACTTGGGTATATATACACGTATGTGTATGTATATGTGCATGTGTATATGAGCGTATGTGTGTGTATGTATGGGTATATATGTGTGCTCATATGTGTGTGTGTAGATGTGTTTATATGTGTGTATATATGTTTGTGTTTATATGTGTATATGTATATTGTGTATATAGCCTAGGGAAGACAATTATGCTGGGGAAAGTGGAAGGCAAAAGGAAGAGGGGCCGACCAAGGGCAAGATGGATGGATGGCATCCTTGAAGTGACTGGACTGACCTTGAGGGAGCTGGGGGTGGCAACGGCCGACAGGGAGCTCTGGCGTGGGCTGGTCCATGAGGTCACGAAGAGTCGGAGACGACTGAACGAATGAACAACAACAACATATTGTGTATATGTGTGTGCTTGTTTATATGCATGTGTGTATGTGTGCATGTGTATATTTGTGTATGCATGTGTATATGTATATATGTGTGTATGTAGATGTGTGAATGTGTATATGAGAGGATGTGTGTGTGTATATATATATGTTTATATGCATGTGTGTATGTATGTGTGCATGTGTATATTTATGTGTGCATGTGTATATGTAGATATGCATGTATGTAGATATTATCTGTGAATGTGTATATGAGAGTACTAGCCGTCCCCTGCCACACGTTGCTGTGGCCCACATGGGGGTTCTGTGTGGGAGGTTTGGCCCAATTCTATCGTTGGGTTCAGAATGCTCTGTGATTGTAGGTGAACTATAAATCCCAGCAAATACAACTCCCAAATGTCAAGATTCTATTTTCCCCAAACTCCACCAGTGTTCACATTTGGGCATACTGAATATTCGTGTAGAGTTTGGTCCAGATCCATCATTGTTTGAGTCCACAGTGATCTCTGGATGTAGGTGAACTACAACTCCAAAACCTGAAGGACACTGCCCACCAAACCCTTCCAGTATTTTCTGTTGGTCATGGGAGAACTGTGTCCCAAGTTTGGTTCAATTCCATCGTTGGTGGGGTTCAGAATGCTCTTTGATTGTAGGTGAACTATAAATCCCAGCAACTACAACTCCCAAATGACAAAATCAATTTTTTGAGTGAAGGACATACATTGGGTTGTTAGGTGTCTTGTGTCCAAATTTGGTGTCAATTCGTCCAGTGGTTTTTGAGTTCTGTTAATCCCACAAACGAACATTACATTTTTATTTATATAGATTTGTATAGTCCACTTATATTCTTATATAGATGGGTAAAGATTGAGCACCTCAATGATGTCATGAGCGAAACCGTGAAGGACCACCCAAGACGGGACGGTTGTGGCAGAGAGGTCAGACCAAGCGTGATCCCTGGGGAAGGCAATGGCAAACCACTCCAGTATCCTTGCCAAGAAAACTAAATGGACCAGTACAACCAGAGATATGTCGGTATGCCATTGGAAGATGGGACTCCCAGGTCGGAAGATGGCCAAAATGCTACTGGGGAGGAGCAGAGGAGAAGTTCAACTAGCCCCAGATGTGATGACGCAGCTAGCTCAAAGCCGAAAGGAAGGCTAGCGGCCGACGGTACTGGAGGTGAACGACGAATCCGATGCTCTAAAGATCAACACACCATAGGAACCTGGAATGTAAGATCTATGAGCAAACTGGATGTTGTTATTGGTGAGATGTCAAGACTAAAGATAGACATTCTGGGGGTCAGCGAACTGAAATGGACTGGAATGGGCCACTTCACATCAGATGACCACCAGATCTACTACTGCGGACAAGAAGAACATCGAAGAAATGGAGTAGCCTTCATAATTAATAAGAAATTCGCTAAAGCGGTGCTTGGATACAACCCAAAAAATGACAGAATGATCTCAATTCGAGTGCAAGGAAAGCCTTTCAACATTACAGTGATCCAAATATACGCCCCAACCACAGCTGCTGAAGAAGCAGAAGTAGATCAGTTCTATGAGGATCTGCAGGACCTCCTGGATAATACACCAAAAAGAGACATTATTTTCATTACAGGAGACTGGAATGCCAAGGTGGGAAGTCAAATGACAACAGCGATCACAGGCAAGCATGGTCTGGGAGAACAAAATGAAGCGGGACGCAGGCTGATAGAATTTTGCCAGGAAACCTCGCTGTGTATAACGAATACTCTCTTCCAACAACCTAAAAGACGGCTTTATACATGACCTCACCAGATGGTCAACACCGAAATCAGATTGACTACATCCTTTGCAGCCAAAGGTGGCGGACATCCATCCAGTCGGTGAAAACAAGACCTGGGGCTGACTGTAGCTCAGATCACGAACTTCTTATTGCCCAATTTAGAATAAAACTAAAGAGATCAGGGAAAATACACAGACCAGTTAGATATGATCTCACTAACATTCCTAGCGAATATAAAGTGGAAGTGAAGAACAGATTTGAAGGACTAGATTTAGTAAACAGAGTCCCAGAAGAACTATGGACAGAAGTCCGCGACATTGTTCAGGAGGCGGCAACAAAGTACGTCCCAAAGAAAAAGAAAACCAAGAAGGCAAAATGGTTGTCTGCTGAGACACTGGAAGTAGCCCAAGAAAGGAGGAAAGCAAAAGGAAACAGGGATAAGGGGAGATATGCCCAGTTAAATGCGCAATTCCAGGGGTTAGCCAGAAGAGATAAGGAACTATTTTTAAATAAGCAATGCATGGAAGTGGAAGAAGACAACAGAATAGGAAGGACAAGAGACCTCTTCCAGAAAATTAGAAACATTGGAGGTAAATTTCTGGCAAAAATTGGTATGATAAGAAACAAAGATGGCAGGGACCTAACAGAAGCTGAAGAGATCAAGAGAAGGTGGCGAGACTATACAGAAGATCTGTATAGGAAGGATAATAATATTGAGGATAGTTTTGACGGTGTGGTGAATGAATTAGAACCAGACATCCTAAGGAGTGAGGTTGAATGGGCTTTGAGAAGCATTGCTAACAGGAGACGACGGGATCCCAGCTGAACTGTTTAAAATCTGAAAAGATGATGCTGTCAAGGTGATGCATGCCATTTGCCAGCAAATATGGAAAACACAAGAATGGCCATCAGACTGGAAAAAATCAACTTATATCCCCATACCAAAAAAGGGAAATGTGAAAGACTGCTCAAACTTCCGTACAGTGGCCCTTATTTCTCATGCCAGTAAGGTAATGCTCAAGATCCTGCAAGGAAGACTCCAGCAATACATGGAGCGAGAGTTGCCAGATGTTCAAGCTGGGTTTAGAAAAGGCAGAGGAACGAGAGACCAGATTGCCAATATCCGCTGGATAATGGAGAAAGGCAGGGAGTTTCAGAAAAACATCTATTTCTGCTTCATTGACTATTCTAAAGCCTTTGACTGTGTGGATCATAATAAATTGTGGCAAGTTCTTAGTGGGATGGGCATCCCAAGCCCCCTTCCCTCTCTCCTGAGGAATCTGTACAAGGACCAAGGAGCCACAGTCAGAACTGACCACGGAACAACAGACTGGTTCAAGATTGGGAAAGGCGTACGGCAAGGCTGCATCCTCTCACCCAACCTTTTTAACTTGTATGCAGAACACATCATGCGAGGATGTGCGGGGCTGATGAATGCAAAGCTGGGGTGAAAATTGCTGGAAGAAACATAAACAACCTCAGATATGCAGATGACACCACTCTGATGGCCGAAAGCGAGGAGGAGCTGAGGAGCCTTCTAATCAAGGTGAAAGAAGAAAGCGCAAAAGCCGGGTTGCAGCTAAACGTCAAAAAAACCAAGATTATGGCAACAAGAATGATTGACAACTGGAAAATAGAAGGAGAAACCGTGGAGGCCGAGACAGACTTTGTATTTCTAGGGGCAAAGATTACTGCAGATGCAGACTGTAGCCAGGAAATCAGAAGACGCTTACTTCTTGGGAGGAGAGCAATGTCCAGTCTCGATAAAATAGTGAAGAGTAGAGACATCAGACTGGCAACAAAGATCCGCCTAGTCAAAGCCATGGTCTTCCCTGTAGTCACCTACGGATGTGAGAGCTGGACCTTAGGGAAGGCTGAGCGAAGGAAGATCGATGCTTTTGAACTGTGGTGTTGGAGGAAAGTGCTGAGAGTGCCTTGGACTGCGAGAAGATCCAACCAGTCCATCCTCAAGGAAATAAAGCCCGACTGCTCATTGGAGGGAAGGATACTAGAGACAAAGTTGAAGTACTTTGGCCACATCATGAGGAGACAGCAAAGCTAGAGAAGACAATTATGCTGGGGAAAGTGGAAGGCAAAAGGAAGAGGGGCCGACCAAGGGCAAGATGGATGGATGGCATCCTTGAAGTGACTGGACTGACCTTGAAGGAGCTGGGGGTGGTAACGGCCGACAGGGAGCTCTGGCGTGGGCTGGTCCATGAGGTCACGAAGAGTCGGAGACGACTGAACGAATGAACAACAACAGTTGTGTATGTGTGTGTATATATATGGTGTGTGTGTATTTGGGGTTTTTTTTAAAGTCCTGCTAGTTTTTTATTTTTAGGGGTGATGAACACTCGTTGGACTGTTAGTTGTATTGTGTCAAAATTTCGTGTCATTTCATCCAGTGGTTTCCGAGTTATGTTAATCCCACAAACTAGCATTACATTTTTATTTATATAGATTTCAAAAACATGGTTTTCACACAAAGAAGAAAAGAGAGCAAAGAAGGGGATGAGGGTGGTGGAGCTCTGGTTAGTAGATTAGAACCGTACAAATGTCTACGTTATCACCGAGGAAAGGGATAGAGGAGGAAAAGAGATCTTCTACTTGCTATCACTATTACATCAGGTACTATTATACACATCGCCTGAAGTTTTGGAAGTTCCAAAGGTCCTCTGTAACAGAGAAGAAGGCACTCTCCGTCGTCCAACATCAAAACTGGTTGTCACGTCTTCCCTGTGAATTGCTGGGTAGTAGAGCTTGAGGCGGAGAGCAGCCATGAAGTAATCAGTCAGCTTTATTCACAAGTATTTACACAGAGTAACATCGCAGCGTCCGCTCCGGGAAAATCATCCATCAAGAATGGCAACTCTCGGTCTTCTTCTTCACAGCAATAGACACACCTCCCACGTTCCATTCAGACATCCGGTCTCCCACAGAGGAAGGAGGACGTTAACACACACAGATCTTTTTAGGAAACATACAAAACCCGGTGGTTTCTTAGCTCTATACACGCTAGAGAGTTTCACACACGCATGGTTACAGCTTTCAAAACATACACTTTGAAATCTACTCATAAATCAAACCAAGTAACAACATTCCCATGCCATCCCATGTTCTTCCTTTCTTCTTCCCCAGTTCTTGAGGTGTATTTTTCTAAATCTACGTATTGTCATATACATCTAAAAATTCAATTTCATTTGTTAGTAAATTAATATTGTGTAGGGGAGAATTCACTATCTTACATTGTCGTGTTCTTTTTTAAAAACACTACACAAACATGATGCATTATACTCCTAGGAGGGAAAATTCATTCCTTTCTAGACTTTGAATCTGTTCTCATGGCTTCTAACTGGGAATTTTAAAAATATGTTTATATTTAATCCCTGTTTTAATGTTTGCATATTTCTGTATTTTAAGTTGCATGCTTCACTCTCACTGAAGCTCTTTTCACATTCCAGGCATTTACAGTTTTTTCCTAGTGTGAGTTTGATTATGTTTGCGTAGATCTTCACTGCAAGGGAAACTCCTTCCGCACTCCAGGCATTTATAGGGTTTCTCAACACTGTGATTTCTTTGGTGTAAGTGCAGACTCCCATTTTGTGAGAAACTCTTTCCACACTCCAGGCATTTATAGGGTTTCTCACCACTGTGATTTCTTTGGTGTAAGTGCAGACTCCCATTTTGTGAGAAACTCTTTCCGCACTCCAGGCATTTATAGGGTTTCTCCCCAGTGTGAGTTCTTTGGTGTGAATATAATTCTGCACTCTGCACAAAGTTCTTTACACACTCCTGGCATTCATAAGGTTTCTCTCCTGTGTGAGTTCTTTGATGTGAACGTAGCATTTCGTTCTGAGCAAAGCACTTTCCCCACTCCAGGCATTTATAGGGTTTCTCAACAGTGTTGAGTTCTTCGATGTGTCTGTAAATGTCCACTCTGCGTGAATTTCTTTGCACACTCTGGACATTCATAGGGTTTCTCACCAGTGTGAGTTCTTCGATGTTTATGTAAATTTCCACTCTGAGTGAATCTCTTTCCACACTCTGGACATTCATAGGATTTCTCCCCAGTGTGAGTTCTTTGATGCGAACGTAGGCCTTCACTGCGAGTGAAGCTTTTTCCACATTCCTTGCATTCATAAGGTTTCTCCCCAGTGTGAATTCTTTGATGTGAACGCAGAGCTCCACTCCGAGCAAAGCTCTTTCCGCACTCCAGGCATTTATAGGGCTTCTCCCCAGTGTGACTTCTCTGATGCAAACGTAGACTTCCAATGTGGACAAAGCTTTTTCCACACTCAAAGCATTTAATGGATTTCTCCCCACTGTGACTTATTTGATGTAAACGTAGTAGACTACTACAGGCAAAACTCTTTCCGCACTCCAGGCATTCATAAGGTTTCTCCCCAGTGTGAGTTCTTTGATGTGACCGTAGAGGTCTGCTCCGAGCAAAACTCTTTCCGCACTCCAGGCATGTATAGGGTTTCTCACCACTATGAGTTCTCTGATGTGAACGCAAATTCCCAATCTGAGAGCATTTCTTTCCACACTCTGGACATTCATAGGGTTTCTCCCCAGTGTGAGTTCTTTGATGTGAATATAGAACTGAACTACGAGTGAAGCTCTTTCCACATTCCTGGCATTCATAAGGTTTCTCCCCAGTGTGAGTTCTTTGATGTGAACGTAGCAGTACACTCCAAGTGAAACTCTTTCCACACTCTGGGCATGTATAGGGTTTCCCCCCAGTGTGGATTCTCTTATGTGAATGTAGCTGTCCACTCCGAGTGAAGCTCTTTCCACATTCCTTGCATTCATAAGGTTGCTCCCCAGTGTGAATTCTTTGATGTGCCCATAGAGCTCCGCTCCGAGGAAAGCTCTTTCCACATTCCAGGCATTTAAAGGGTTTCTCCCCAGTGTGACTCCTTTGATGTGAATGCAAATTTCCACTCTGAGCAAAACTCTTTCCGCACTCCAGGCATGTATAGGGTTTCTCATCACTGTGAGTTCTCTGATGGTAATGCAAACTCCCAATCTGAGAGAATTTCTTTCCACACTCTGGACATTCATAGGGTTTCTCCCCAGTGTGAGTCCTTTGATGTGAGCGTAGACCTTCACTTTGAGTGAAGCTCTTTCCACATTCCTGGCATTCATAAGGTTTCTGCCCAGTGTGGGTTCTTTGATGTGAACGTAGAGCTCCGCTCTGAGCAAAGCTCTTTCCGCACTCCAGGCATTTATAGGGTTTCTCCCCAGTGTGAGTTCTTTGATGTGAACGTAGACCTTTACTGTGAGTAAAACTCTTTCCACACTCCAGGCATTTATAGGGTTTCTCCCCAATGTGAATTCTTTGATGTAACTGTAGGTTTCCGCTCCTAGCAAAGCTCTTTCCACATTCAGTACATTTATATGCTTCTTTCCCCATGTTTCCCTTTCTGAACTCTGAGTGAGGTGAAGAGTTCAGCCAGATCGGCACCTTCGGAGTATTTCTTCTTCCTCTATGACTGCTTTCCTTGCTGCACTTTGGAATCCCAAATTCTTCAATATCCACTAGAGGTTGAATTGTTTCCCGTCGTGAGAAATGCGGCCCCAAAGAATGCTCCTTTCCCTGGTGAAGAAAGAAGAAGTGAAAGAGAAGTAATGAAAGTCAAAACCTTCGATTCTCCCTCTATTATTTTTATTTTTACCCCGGAGACTCAAAGCGACTTGCATTAAAAGCATTTCAGTACAATGTAAAATCTACACACACACAATTAAACTGAATTAATTAGCATTGGTATTAATTATAGTTTATTTATTTATTACCATATTTATATAGATAGCACTCTGAGCATGGAATTGGATATGGAATTGACTGGAGTGGTGATACGGCTATTAATGTCAGTTTCTGTGTTTTGGGTTATGTAGTAGATTTCCAAAATGTGTTTTTAAAGCTGTAAGCATGTGTATGTAATAATGTCCAGCAGGGATAGTGTTAACGAACCGCTGAGTTTTGTATGAATCCTAGAAAGGTCTATGTGTGTGTCAGTTCCTGCTTCTTGTGTGTGAGGCCGGATGCTTTCAATGGAATGTGAAGGAAGCGTGTCTAGTGCTTGTGATGAAGGCTCAGCGTAGCCATTGCTGATTCCTCTTTTGCCAGAGACAGATGCTGCTATGTAACTCTGCTGTATATAGCTGTAAATAAAGCTAATGGTTTAATTATTTTATGGCTGTGTGCAGGGACAGCTTTTTTGCCTCGCCAACCGAGGAGCCACCGCCGAGAATGCCCTGTCTCTTGTTCCCACCAAGCGCATCTGAGACGGAGGTGGGACTGAGAGCAGGGCCTCCTCAGACAATCCTAAAGTTCAATTAAAATTCATAAAAACATATTCAAAGCTAAAAACCACAGCAGCCCCCAACTCAGTCTTGAAAAGCCAGCCTGAATTAAAAGGTTGTAGCCTGCCACTGGAAGTACAGCAGGGAGGGGGACATTCTGATTTCCCAGGACAGAGTTCCAGAGTCGAGAGGCAGCCACCGAGAAGGCCCTCTCTCTGTTTTTACCAATTGTCCACTGGCAACCAGTGGAGCTGCTGTAACAGGGGGTTGCCTGCTCCTTCCAGACAGTCCCAGTGAGCCACTTGTCTGCAGCTCTTTGGGCTAACTGAAGTTTCTGAGCATTGTTCAAAGTGAGCCATGTTGCGCAGCAAGCGAATTCTACCCAGCGCCCATTCAATGTCCCAAGTCCAAAATGCGAAAGACTCACAGAGCAGAGGAAAAATGAACAGAAAAATCTTTACTCTTAATAGCAGAGATGAAACAGAAACTTGCAATGTTGCATACGAAAACAAGCAGTGCAACAAACTTACATAGTCTTTCTAAGAAACACAGAATAAGGCATCTTTGTCTTCAATCAAACGAGAGAGCAAAACATAAACCTTGAGTAAAGAGCTATTCCACCATAGCTTCTCTCCAAACTGCTCCTCAGAGCAGAGCCTTTGAGCATAGATCTCCTCATGTCAGGAGTCCATTTCTGACGGCATGAAGACATCACAAATTCCCTCCGTGACATCCTGACTGAATCATCCTGGCTGACTCAGAGGAGTTTGGCAGAAAAGGTGTATAAAAGGAAGTGGTGGTGAGAAAAAGTCAGCAGTGTCTTTCTTTGCTGCAGAGATACAAGCAATATATCCATTTCAAAGCAAAACCGGCTTGTGAGTGGTCATTTAATATTGCTCTATAGATCCTACAGTCTTACACCTCAGAGAAAAAGCTCTCCAGAATCTCTCCAGGATCTCTCCTGAACTGTATTCCAAACCCATACAGTTATACACCATTGGGTGTGGTCCAAGCTTGCTGGTTGACCTACATTACCAGCTGCACATGATAATTAACACTATAAGGTTTTTCTTCAAAACACACACACACACTTGTTGGGATTCGGCCTGTGTTTGTGTTTTAGGATCCTGATGTGGGAAATGATGAGAGCAATGATGGTGCTCATGCTGAGGTACAAGATGGAGATGGTTTGGTCAATGATTTTCATACAGATAATGACAGAGAGGCCCCAGTGCAAAGGGCAGTTTCTCATGGGAACATCCCTGCTGGGCCTAGCAATGATGGTTCACTCCCTCTCTTTGTGAGCTCTCAAGATTTGGGTTTGGAAAACAATCTGACACCTGGGAATTTTAATGAGCAGCCAGATAGGGAGCTGAAGAATAGGTGGCTGGAGATTAGCCAGGATCAACAGCAAACTCAGCTCCGAAAGGCTTCATCTGAGAAGGGGTAAATGTGGGGGAAAGCTAAACCAATTTCGGAGTTTTGGGATATGAGGTTTGCCTCAAGGGGAAACCTGTTAGATCAGGCATCATTTGGAAACCAAGTTCATGTGCCATGGAAATCCTGTTCAAGGGGTCTTGTTCCTGTGAAGTTTTTTAGCCTTTTGGATTGTCTCTGCATCCTGGTTGATGAATGCTGTCTTAGATTGCTTTTACTCCTTGTGTGGACATTGCTTTGTGTTACTGTTTTTTTATGGACTTATTACTTTTTGGAACCTTCTTATTTTCTTACAAGCATTTATTTCTTCTGGCTATTTACTAAGCTTCAATAAAAGAAGATTTGTTTCTTCACTCTTTGTGTGGTGTGTTTTAAAGTCACCCAGAGGGCTTTTTCCTGACCTGGAGTGCAACAACACTTGGTCCTGCTATGATTTACCGCAACAAGCCACACATAGATGTTGCAATCCAGAGCAGAGAACGAGGCCTAAGATAACTATCCACCACACTTGGCTGTGAAAAACAATC